GGGTCTTGTTAGAAGTTAAGTGTGATGAAGAGGGTGTAGCTGGTCTCACCCACTTCCATTCGAGTGCTTGAAAATCTTTTCTGTACACACTGTCCTGCATTAGCAGCCACCAGGGGTGAGGGAAAGCTGAGAATAGCACCTGGCAGGTTGGTTGGTGAATGCAGCGAGCAGGGCTGCCCTGCAGGCAGGGACAGAGCACAGGCTGGCAGTGATTGAGCTGTGCCCTTGGTCTGAATGCAGTGTCAAAGCTGGGGTGGTGATAAGAGGCTCCATAGACAGCCTCAGGTAGGGCAAGCTGGTGAGCCAGGTCCAAAAGGCCATCTGAGAAGTCCGGTCAAGAACAGTAGCAAGAGGGGCAGGACTAGTGGAAGGGCTTCTGTGCAGAACCGAGTCTGTCACAGGTGGAGCTTCTGGACAGGGAGTGTGGGTGGGGGTCCTGTGGAGGTGGCTGTGAGCAGATGAGGTTTGCTGGTGCTCTGGGGACACTGAAACTGCTTGCACTTACCACAGTTGGATGAGAATAGTGATCCACTTCAGTGGACTGAATTGTCAAGAAAAAGCATCTTTTACAAGAAAGTCTGCTAACTTTCCTCTTTACAAAAGAACGTATTTTTGATCATTTAGCTTGGTAGAGTGGCAGCATACAAAGATGTTTCACTCAAGATCTCCTTCTGGTTTTTATGTTACAAGACCCAGAGTTCTTCCCAGGAACTCAGTGTTCCACAGAATCAGGTTCCCTGTTTCCAAGGACTGAGTTCTATCCATCAATGATCTTCTGTGTGTTTATGATTCAAAACAGCAGTGTGACTTGTGATTTTGCAGTAATTAGGAATCTAAATTTCAGTTTATGGATTTACTTCTGGTTTTGTTTGTTTGTTTTTGTTCTGGGTATTCCTGTATCTTTAAAGATACAAAGATATTGTCCTCTTGTTTGAATTGATATATGATTTTTTATTGGCATGAGGAGTGACTGGATGAACTGATAAGTTTTTTCATGCTTAACATATACATATATATTTATTTTCACTATCATAGATATGTATACCTAGAAACTTTTTCTTAGTTTGATAATTATTTTATCACAATTTAAGGTCCACCAAATGTTCAGTGCTGGAAAAAAAGAGACGGGAAAGACAGAACATAAACTGTGAGTGTTTTTAGCAGATATTATGTAAATCCACATCTGTTATCCATACACAACAAATGGGCTGATCCCAAACACCACCTAAAGCATAAAGGCCCTGGAGCAAGACAGTGCCGTAATTTAAGCTTGTTTTGGCTTAGCTAGTTTCAGTTGTAAAAATATTTATCAGGTTGAAATAATTGCTTTAAAGTCTGACAGACTCCCCGCAAAGCTATAAACATGTCAGCATAAATTTTCCTTCAGCACCAGTTTCCAGTTGGGTTTCTTGGTGGTATCTCTGGGTAGAGGAGAAGCATTGTTAGCAACACTGGGGAACATTTGGGCCTTAATTGAATTTCTCATTGCCCATCTGCTATTCTTCTGTTTTAAAAGAACGAAGGGTGTAAATGGCACAATGAATCTTTGGCTCTCTGTTTTACCACTGCGTCAGCAAAATGAGTTTGTTAGAATGATGCCAACAAAGTTTCACCTCTGAAAGCAAGCAGATATTAGATAATAGCAAAAACCCCAAAGCATTTGGTCTTTCTATCTTATTTGCTTTTTCAATAAAAGATCCGATGCTGGACAGTTTTGCATCATGTTTTCGAAAAGAAAAAGCCAACAGCCAAAGCCAATAATTTAAACACTAGGCAACTGGGCCAGAGAAATGCCCTTCCTGTAACCAGGGGTTTGGATTCAGTAGAACTGAACTTTTCTTTTTGCAACTTTTTTAAAGCAAACAAGCAAACCAGTAAACAACAACAATAAGAAGAAAAAAAACAGAAAACCAAAAAACCAAACCACCACCAACAAAAAAACAACTACAACACGCAACTGCAGCATGAATTCCTATGCAACCCTTTTTCCAGTGCACCACTACTGATACCACTAGTACAGAAAAACTTGCTCTAAGTGTAATGACAACTGCTGTATTTGCTGCTGACCTCAGCAAGACTCAGGTTTCACCCAACGCTGGCAAGGTTTGCTTGATCCCCCACTTGCTGATTCCTGAACTTGCTCTGATGTCAACATTTTACCCAGTGCTCAAGGACTTTCTGTTTCTAGTTCTGATTGCGCACTTCAGCATGATAGGATGTGAGAAGAGTCCTAACTGCAGATAAGAGCTGATGGCAAAGCATGGTTTGGGTGGAGTGACTGTTTCTGCAGCGTTGTGATAATGGTTGAAAATTAGAAGTATATTAAAACACTGTGTTTGGAATTAATTAACTGGAGATTTTTATTTGAAGAGGTTTATAGGTACCACAGTCAGACTTAAGTCTGCTGACATCATTGATGAAAAGCTGTTTTAAATTGTATGAGGTAACAGTGGGATTAGGAAAGGCATGTAAACTGTGTTTACAGAGAAAAATGTTTTGCACTTAATTTAACTGTGCTCATGCTTCATTTCACAGTTTATATATGCGGCGGGGCCAAGGATCAGCTCAGTTTGCTTTTGTGTCTCATGCCCCAGGGTATCAGTAAGCCCAGTACTTGTGTGGGCTGTCATTGAGTTGTGCTGCACACAGCCAGAACTGTTTGGCTGTGAAGGGCGCTCATCTTGCAGCAAAAATCACTTCATTACTGTAAAAATTATTTTCTTTTGTCCAGTCTTCCTCCTGCCAAGAAGAAAAGTGAAAATTTAGTGCTTTTTCTGACCCATTCTAACAAAGTCATACTGTGATGCTACAGATCATTTTTTAATTGTTTGGCATTTATGAAACAGCTGTTTTTACAAGGAACTTCAGAGATGAGCTAAAATAATATTAGTGATGTGATGTTGTTCTTGGCATGTTCTTTCAATTTCTTCTAACTCCTAAAATGTTAGGCGTTGTCTAACATTGTCTTTTTTGTTTTGCAGTGTATTTGGAACAGCCCTGTGTACACAACACAGAAAGAGAAAGAAGGAAAACATAATGGAATGTCCCTATCTGTCATGTAGGTCTGTTTCTGCTCGCAGATTTTTTTCATTTAATACAAGTGTGAGTAATTCTATTTTGTGTAAAAAGATGTTCTGTATGTTCAGCTACATGCGAACAGGAAGGAGTTTCACTAATTTAGGGAACCTCAGTGAGCTTCTGAACAGAAGAAAACTGTATATACTACAAATGGACAAGAACGGATGTCTGGAGACTCTTGTGTGGAGCTCTAACCACTGAAGTTAATGAAAGATCTTAGGTACTTGACTGCAGTTTGGTTTTTGTCCTGAGATAATACCATTGCTAATTACATTCTGGTCATTCTCTTGGTGTAATCCACTTGGAGGAAGAAACAACATTACGTACAAGTCTACAGAGGAAACAGCTGCAGCTCTCTGAACAACCAGATGTGTTGTTTGACATTTCTTAGCTATTCAGCATCTGGAGCAGTTTTAAGGATCTTCTACATTAATTAAAGGAAAAGAAGTCAGCTGCTTTCAACTCTTATTTCATGGTTTTCATGAGATAAATGTTTCTATTTTATTGTAGAGTAAATGGAGGGGGAAAATTGCAATAATGTGCTGTAGCATGAATGAGACCAGAGCATGGCTTGTGGCGCTTCAGTCCTGGTGTCACTGCTGGCTTTGTGCTCCTGCAGCTAGTGAGTCGGTCTGTGGTTCTCATGGAGGCTGCAGGTAACAGACATGTGATCTGAGCCTCTGCCATGATGTTTTGAGTCCTGGTCAGAGTATGTATCTAAATTACTTCAGAAAAGTATTTTCCTCCTGAAATATTGATGCTGTCTTTATTTCTGCTGTAAATTAGATTGTACATGCTCAGAACACACATGCGTTATTTAGCTACAGCTTATTTAGAGCACATTTACTACTGGACATTCCTAAATATCAGATTACTGTTTTTACAGGTGAGGAAATACAGTGGCAGTAAGGAGCAGATGCAAGGAGAGCAACGGAAGCTTCAGCATCAGCACTGAGACCCATTCTATCTCTCTGGCTGTTCCCTTGATATCCAGAATTCCTGGAGGATCAGGATCAATTACCAGTGGTAAGTTGGATGTCTGAGCATGCAGTGCCCGAAAGTGGCATTATGGGTATTGTACAGAAATGGGCAACACCAGGAATGTGGATGTCTCCCCTTCCTTGTTGTTCTGAAGTTATATACGCTTTGCTAACAGCTCAAAGCCTTTGCCTGATAGGACTCATTGGCTTGACTTCCTGCCCCATTGACTGGGGTCTGTCAACAAGTGGGTCTTTTTGGTTCTGTTCACTGCTTTTTGAGACTCTGTCTGCACTTTCTCTAAGCCACAATGGAGCTTAGGACTCTCTTTTTCCTGTTGAGTTCAGCATATCTTGATCCCCTTTCACAGTGGTGCAGCTTTGGCAGAAAGAGGGGAAAATGCCCCTGTGTTCTGCATGAGCTGCAGCTCTGGTGGTTGGTTGGGCTGTGCTTGGTGGTCAGAAGACACAGGTAGAGCAAGCCTCAGGGCAGGGAAGTAGACTTGGATCTCTTGTGCACAGGGTATGTCTGCAATCAGTGGGACTGGCAATCCTGTAATTGGCTCTGAGATGTGCTATACTGCCTGCGTCCTCATGGTTGTATTTAAAAAGGAAGCGTGGCAGTTGGTATCTAGCCCAGTCTGGCAGGTACCCAGCAGGTATATCTACAGCAAAACGGCTCTGAGGACTGGAATCGAAGGCTGGCATCTAGGATTTGGGCTTTGATCTAGAATAGGTGTGAAAGGAGGACCAAACTTATTTTAAGAGTTGGACTTGGCAGAAATGCTAAGTCACAGCTTGAAACAGTGATGGAGCCCCTGGTGGGAAGGCAGGGCTAACCCAGCGGAGCTCAGGTGCATGCAATGCAATGCACCTGAGTGACCAGCAGGGGTGGAGCCAGGATCCACCTCTTCCTAGACCTCATGTAAGGGTTGGCAGTGGAGGCAAGAAGTATCTCACTTGACATTCCTACTTACCTGAGGCCTTCTAAAGGTAAGCAGATTCTTTGTTTCTGTGGCTGTTGCATTTGGGCTTATCTTTACTTGTTGCTTCTTAGGACTTTGCTATGCCATTGCAGTATAGTTTTTTGTTTGTGTGTGTTTGTCTTTTGTTATTTTCAATTCTGTATGAAAAATTCAGGTGCTGCTGTTGGATCTGTCTGAAAGAGATTTGTAAAAACCCGTGTGTGGAGGCAGTGGCAGGTATAGGAATGGCATACAGTAATCCGTGCACTCTTTCTTTCCCTTGGAATGCTCCCCCAAACATCGAAGATTGTGTCTGTTAGGAAGGTGTTCCATTACAATCATGTTTTATTGCATTAGCATTTTAGTTTCTGCCCTGTTGCTGCTTCTCAGATGTCAGCCCAGCAATCAGGTGTGGGACGTGGACGTGTGGAAGAACAGAGAACAGGGATCCGTGAGATGAATTGCTTCCCCTTTTTTTTGCCTCGTTTGTATGAAATAGTGCCAAATGGCCTTAAATATTGAGCAGCCCATCTCAAAAACAGGGCATTGTGCTTTGTGCAGGAAGCCCAGGTGTCAAGTTTGGAGTTGGTTTGTAACTGTTGAGCTGATCTGTAGTGGTTTTGCTGCTCTGAGCAACAGCTGGGGGTTGGTTGGCTGTGCTGTGAGAGCTGAGAGCAGCTCAGCGCCAAACCTCGCCTGCTGGGTTCCTGCTCCCGAGCTCACCCCGTTTGTCCGGCGACAGTAACACGGGGTTAAATACATCTCTGATCGCATCTCTCAGGTTTGTCCGTATTTCAGAGTCCTTGTGATGGTTACGCTCCTCAGATTAGCAGGAAGCGAACACGCGTACACGCCTTACTGATCCGCTAACGCCAGCGCTGCTCTTCTCACACCTCGCAATGAGCAGCGATCGCCCGAGGCTGAGCGCGGTGGGGCCGGAGCGGAGCTCCGCAAAGCAGGCGCGGCCGTTCGGGAGGCGGGGCGGGGCGGCTCCTGGCGACGAAGCGTCGCTCGGACCCGCCCCGCGGTAACGAGGCGACGGCCGAGGCGCAGCGCCCGTCCTCCTCCGCCGTTGGCGCGGGGAGGCTCGCGGGCAGGTGCCGGCAGAACGGCGGGGCGAGGGCTGCGGGCTGCCCGCTGTGAGGCGGCTGCGTGGTTGCGCAATGGCGAAGCGAGAGCGTAAGGGTTAGAGAAGTTAGCGGGTGAGGAGGAGATGGAGGAGGGCGGTGGAGAGGAGCTGGGCGCTGGGAGCAGCCCTCCGGGCTCGGAGCGGGGCAGCAGCCCTGCGGGAAGCGAGAGGCAGCCCAGCAGCGCCCGCTGCGCGCCGTGCGTGCTCACCGTATCGCTCGCTATCCCTGCATTGGCCACCAGTAAGTACTTGGCCCACTGAACCCTTTATTTGTTGTTTTATAAACTCGTCTTCAGTGGTTTAAGGAGGTAGTGTTAGGAAAGGTGTCATCTGATTCGGATTTTTCTGGGTAGGTTGGTCAGGAGACTGTTGGGATCATTGCAACCAGTGCCTGAAAATGTCTCCCAACAGCCCCTCAGCTGCCAGTTACTCAAGTTGGCGGTGTTAGCTGTTGTTTATCAGTACTGTCTAACGGTGAAAATAAAGGTATTTTTGACACACGTGCTCACTTTGGGAAGTTAAGGATAGGGGTGTCATGTCAGGAGAAGGGAGCAGCTTTTCAGGAGATGAAGCGTGGATCTCCTGCAGCACGGAGGTTTTGGGTATAGCAGCAAGAGGTACAGGCAGCCTCCTCTGGGCAGCTCTGCTTTATGCCTGTTGTCTGGGTGGCAGGACTCATGTGCCTTGGGAGCTGCAGGCATGGGGTCATGCTTCAGGAAAAGTGGTGGAAGGAGCAGTTCCTTGCATTTTGTGGGCCCTTACAGCAGTTAAACCCAAATAAGAGCTGCGTGGTTGGTCGAGCTCTGGGATAAGGGTTTCGTGTTCTGCAGCTGTGGTCATCATTTTTCTGTTGTCACTTTTTAACTCTTGTTGCCATTTGATCAATAAGAGAGCGTTTCCCATGAAACTATCACATTTGATCACATTTGACACTTCCGGATGATTCTCATATCTTCTCCAGAGCAAAAGCAGATGACAACCAGTCCCCCTAACAGGCGAGGAAAGGGAGTTCCAGCTGATGAACTAAGAACGAAGCGTTGCTATCACATTGAGTACTTCCTTTTACCAGACGATCTCGTGCCAAGAAAAATGGATTTGATGGTGTTCGGGACGGTTGCAAAGCTATTTGGAGAGTCTGATTCCAAGGTAAAGGATGTAAGATTGGGTAATCCCACACATCACATACCGGATGCAGGAGGATGTTTTCCAGAGCGAGTTGTTTTAGTTGTATGTTCTAAAACTGCTTAGCCCCTACTTGCACACGTAGATTTGGAAATAAGTATTGAGAGTAGAAGTTTATGCTCCTAATCTACATCACCAGGAACTTCTAAGATTTGTAATCAGAGGTGGTTTTTTTTGTTGTTTTTTTTTTAGAGTACTTTTATAAAATTATAAAATTACTTCTTTGTAGATCACTGGAATTGTATGTTTGTACTTCAAAGATAGTAATTTGAAAGCAAATGTGCATTCCATTAAAAGATGAAAAATTGAAAATCATGCTTCTGACCTTTGTTGGGAGGAAGAAGATTTTTTTTAAGGTACTAGAAGAATGTTGTAGATGTCTTGTTTAGACATATCTGGATAAGCCCTTGTGTTCAAATCCATGAATCTAAATGTTGGATGTGTTGTTCTGAATTCACCTTAGTTTGTTGAGAAATTATTTCTAAAAAGTCAGTGCTAAAATCATCTGAAAGAAGTGGGACACTGTTGCTTTTAAAGTATTACATATCATTCTCAGCCTGTATCTGGATAATCCTATTAAAGATAGCTTAGGTGACTCGAGTTAATTCTGTTTACCTAAGTCACATTGACCAATTATTCATTTGAAAGCTTGTTGCATTTTTCTTGTTAATCAATAGTAAGTAACAAATTTATAGCTGTCTTTTAACATGTTTCCACTTTTTGGTGAAAATCCTGCAAGTAGGAAGAACTCAAAACTGGTGGTTCTGTTCATTCACTATTGCATGCAGTTTCTTATAGTATTAGTCCATTAATTCACATAGAACTATAATTATGCCTCAAGCTACATAAGAAGGGAAGACTGAACTTAAAGTAAGCCCAAACTTTTTTTGTTCACAGTACTTTTAATGCAAAGGCGCAGTTTTGTAGAACAACTTTCTGAAACAAGTTCAGTAATTCCCTGTAGGAAATTGTGAATCAATTAATAATAAAAGTATTTGTTGGCCAAAATCTCTTGTATTTTTGACTACCCAGTCTCTCTCCTCCCTTGCCTCTCATTGATCAGCAATGAATACCTAAGAACTCTGTACCATCCCTAGTACTGAAGGTATGATAGGTAACATGGTCCCATTTTCCCTTGCAGATTGTGCCTGTTTTAAAGCGTCTGTTTTAGCTTTTATAGTATTCCATTATGCCGTTGGTGCTGATTGTCTTGCTGAACAATGGCTTAATTGCTGGTCTTCATATCAGACATTGGCTTGGTAAGAATGGTTTGTCTGAATCCAGTGAAGTGTGCTGACACAACAAGGGGGTTCATGTAAGATCTAGTATGAGTTGGAGACATAAGAAAGGCACACTTTGAGAGTAGTAGTGATAGTGGTCAGCATGTGAATTTAAATACTTCTATTCTGATGAAAGCCTTTATGGGAGTTCATCTTTGTTTTAATAGACTATTGTGCCATGGCTTGAAAATGACCAGATGTGGATCTCGTGGAACCATAATACAAATGTCAATGTCACTAATGAATTTCTAATAAAATTAAGAGATCATAAAATAACTTTAAAACTTTGGGACACCAAGGACAAAGTTTTCTCAGAAGCAAGGCTTAGTAAACCGGACGTGTCCTCAACAGAAAGAGATGCAGAGGCTGTTGGTAAGTCTAATGCAAATAGGTATGTTATCAAATGTACCTTGAAGCTGTGATTACACCTATTACTAAGTTACTGATGAGATTATCTGATACTTGCATGTCATTCCCATTAAAATAACTCTAGCTTGTTTGTACTCTGAAGGCTTTAGTTTCTGAACATTCTAAAGGTAGAGAAATGTAATTGGGACTGTCATCTGAACCTTTGTGAATTGAGGAGTTATTTTAGGCTATTGGATACTAATGGTAGTAGTGAATATGCTCACTTTTTTTTTTTCCTGTACAGCTGTGCTTTTATGCTGTGCATCTTTGTTTCATCTCTTCCTCTTGTTACCTCCCATCAATCTATGGCTAAGTTTTGGCTATGCTGAGTTGAACGTCAGTGGTGTCAAAAACATCTTTCTATTGTGCAACTGAGCTAATTTTTACTAGTTGATTTACTAGTTGAATTAATTTAATTAAAGGATAGAGACCTTGTTAGAGCTCTTCTGGACATGTGTGAAATAATGCATAGTGGAGAGCTAACCATGAGATGAAGTGCATAGGAAATAGGGTATCCTTCATTCAGCAGACGTGGAATTACTGTTAAATTAAGCACATTTGAATAGTAAAGTTAATTTTATCAGTAGAATACTGTGTTTTCTCTCTTTGTATCAATGGATAGTTATTTGGTGATGCTACATGATCTCAAAAGCCAATTCATATGGCTCGGGTTTCTTTCTGATTGAACTAATACTAATAAATATTTGCTCAGATACGGTGGGCTTTGTGAATAAATGGGCTTTGCATCTGTTTGTGTTTGGAAGATAGGCCGAGCACCTCAGTAGCTGTTGTTGAGGAGTGGAAACTTGTCAGTAGTTATTTCTCTTCTGAACAGCTGCTGTAAAGCTTAGCAACGGGGGGATTAAAAGCGTTCCTTCCTGAAGTTGCACTGTTGCAGGAGTCTGTGTGCAGAGGTCCTACTCATCTCACTGCCAGGGCTGTTTGCTTCGTGGGTAAGCCCAGTATTCTGGGAGCTCTCACAAGCCTCACCTGCCCCAATGTTTTCCTAAAGTATGCATTGTTGAGGAGACCATTTAATGCAGGATTCTTCAGCAGGCTTTTAGGTAATCTGCTTTTTATTCCCATGTGCCATGGGGAAAATAATTGCTAAAAAGCAGAAAAATCAAGGTTGTTTTTTTTTTTTTTTCCTTCTCCTGGTAGGTGGAGTAAAACACACAGTGCTGCTGCAAAGAAAACTGTTCGAAGGGAATCAGCCAGCACCCAGCTGTACAAAAATTAGAGAAGCAAAGGAATCCAAGGCACAGAAAAAATCTTCAGCCCTTCCAATCAAAGGTATATTATGACAACTGGCTTGAGGGCTGAAAGGGAGAGAAAAAGCATAACTGGCAACTTGAGTAATGGGCAAGCAGGGACATGGACTGAGGGATTCTACTGAGGGAACAAGGTGCTGCAGGAAGGCTGAGGATATTACAGTTGGAGCAGTTTTCTTATAGCTTTGATATAGATCTCTTTTGTGCCTCAATTCTAGCTGGCTCATGGAAGGTTTTTAAGGAATACTAGAAAAAAGTGTTTTAGTTCTGCTGCTGCTTCATGTTTGGAAGTGATTGTATTAACGTCTAGAACAAATTTCTGCATTCTTACTATTTCTCAGTTGTTGGTAGCTATCTGAAGTCCAGTACAGGATGTTTTGTTTCCTTTGAACTGCTAGTGTAGTGCAGGGTGAAGTATGAAATCTTATTCCTGACATGGAGATCCTGATTTTATGGACTTCATGGTGTCACCTTGTGTCAGCTGAGAAATTGCTGCAGAGCTGCAGGAGGTTAAAAAGTGTGGTGTGGTGTTTAGCTGCGGCAGCGCTCGTTAAGCCAAGAAGGGGAAAACTTCTCCATCTAGTGGCAGTGTTGTTTGTAGCCCCATCTTAAAAACTGTTAGTCTTGTTTTGTATTGGGGCCTTACTGAGTCCATTGACTGGAGAGCTGCCCCCGAGGTACTGGGCACTGTTGAACTGTGCAGAGTGTTTTGCTGTTAACTCCAAAAGTGTGTGGTGTCAAAGTACTTTTTAACTTAGCTGTTTGTGTTCACTATTAAACAATAAAACTACTTTCTCTCCCTTTGTTACATCTATAATTTTTGTTAGATTTACAGATGGAATCTTGGGACTTGCCAAGTATTTAGATAGAATTCTCCAAAGGGAAGTGCAGTGAGGTACCAGGGATTCGTATCTATTGCAACACTACATCTGTCCTTGTGGGGAACACTGAGTCACCATTTTCATCTGATTCGTCTACAAATTGTTTTTAGTTTTTCTAACAATTCATGGCATGCATCATCGAAATAGGAGCAGACAAACTGCCGGTGTAATGAGGCTGGCAGAGTGCATCTGCATTTTGGTGGTAGTGCCATCTGGTGACAGGTCGAGAGAGGACTGATGGACCAAATGAAGTGTGAGTAGTCAGTACAGTAGGAGGTAAAGGATGGGAACATAGCTTCCAGTTCAGATGAATGGAAAATGTCAGTGTTTGCCCTCAGTGCTCACCTGATCTACATTAAGGAAGAAAGCAATGTTGTGAAGTCTCCTAATGTTGTTTTTTTCATTGGCCTTAAAAAGTCATGTGTGTTATTGGGTGTGCAACTACTGTGCTCTGTGAAACAGGTGAGTAGTAATAATTTCTCAGTGTCCTTTTTATATAGCTAGGTAAAAACCTGATCCATTGTTGCTTGGTGGCAGTGGCAAATTTTATACTTTATTGTGTGACTCTTATTCAGCTAGTTAAGTGCAGATTTTTCTTGTCATTCATACCATGTTGATTTGCTCTGATCTCTCTGTGATTGGGACATACATCCTGTAATTAAGACTGACACATTGTGAGGCTAAATGTTGAGTAATTAACACTTAGGTCTGTGACTGTAAATTGTTTTTCTGTAATTAAATAACATCTGAAGCCAGTTAGTTATAGTATGCCATACTCGTGGCATATATAAACACTGAACAAGTATCAGAGCACTTCCATATATAGTGTAAGAGATCTGGACACTGGGCATGTCACTTTTTTTCTTTTTCTCCCAGTTTAGTAGAGTAGCTATTGGAATAATTTGTTGGAATAAGGGAAAATAATCCATGATTTCTTATGGCTATGCATTAAAATAATGCTACCAGCGAATGTCCTAACTGTACATAAATAGGTACTGATAACAAAATATTATTTGGGTATATTTCATTTTAATTACTTTTTAATTCCTAGTTTTGTTTTGAATGGTGGGACTTGACTTTCTAGGAAATAAAGCTCGACTTCATCATATATTTGTTCTTGCATGATCTGTCAAAATCCCTCAAATTATTTTGCGTATTTTAAGCTATTCAAACTCAGCCTTGACACAAAGATAAAAATTAAACAGACTGTGGTTCTGGGTTACGAATTGAGCTTGCATTTTTTCCTAGAGCTTTGCAGATGCATTTTCTTGGTCTTATGAGACTTGTCAAAAGTAGACAAATTTAGAACTTGTTTTACTTTCACAGAAGAAACTGATCAGAGTGGACTAGGAACTTCAAGTTATAATGTACTACATCCTTCAAACGCAGATGACTTCCTTACAGTAAGGTAAGGATGCTACACTTCCATGGGAAAGTGTTTGTGTCCTAATAACATAGTTGAAGACGCATATTTTTTGGTATCTATGTTTCTTTTAAGCTTGTTATGGTTATACTGTGCTTCTGGAGATGGCTGACTGTTGTATTAACGCTTTTTGCAGTCATGCCTGCTGATCACAGGGCAGGAGCAAGAGCATTGTTGTCTACTTTGCTGTACGTCAAGCTTGTTACAGTATACTTGCAGTGAAGTAGCTTTTTATTAAAAAATTACATAAATGATCAAACATTGCTCAACTTACCTATTTGTTCATGTTTTTCTTTCTTTCGTTCATGTCTGGTGACTTCTGATCTGTGGGATAAGAGATAGTGTCACTGAGACCAGGAGGACCTAGGAATGTGTTAGTTAGTGGGTGGCAAAAATAAGCATTATTGTTCAGTATTGTTCAGGGTACTTAATTTTTCTTGAAAGATCAAAGACAATGTCAACAGTAAGAGTTTGCTAGCAAAACAGGCCTTGCTGGGTTGTGAACTCAGCTTTTCAACACTGTAGCTATAAATCTGTATTGGGTCAATGTCATCTCTAAGCTGATGTAGGCATGAGATGATTTGTCAAAAAGAAGTGAGGTAATCCTGAGTTTATAGTACTGTCATAGCATAATTCCTTATTTATTCTGTTCTATTTTTAGGAATGATTCATTCTTTTGATCTAGCAACTAACTTAAGAATTTTAGTGGTAAATTTCTAACAATCAATGTACAATTTTCTGACATTGAAGAGAAGTTAGAAGATTCAAGACTTGAGAAGCTATAGCAGTTTTAAAAAATCAAAGTGTTTCTCGAGTATTGTTCATAATGGAGAACTTTATGTATCTTTATGTCACTATTGCTCTTCCAAACATCTAAACATTTTAATTCTATCGGTATTAAGATGTTTCTTTCTACCTCATTGTTCAAAGGAATATTATTATTGTTATGATCACACCTTGTGGAGGACTAGGGAGTTATCTGACAAGGAAGCTATGCTTACTCTAAAAGCAAATCTGAGATTCAGAGAGTTACATTTCACCAGTTTTATTATTGGCAAAGTTTTGCTGATATTTCGAATGCCTGGAAAAGCGTCTTCTTTTCTAAAGAGTCATTTTCCCTTGTCACTCACTTTATGTCAAAAGTATACATAAGGAAGTGCAATCATCCTGATCTGATATCTTCTATGCATTTTCAGTGTGCAGTGGGGAGATTTCCAGCAAATCCACCACTAAATTCCATGCTATCTCCACAAACTCCACAGTACAATTTCCTTCACCAACTCCTAACATCTGGAGGTTGCTGTGTATTGTGATGGTATCCAGGGCCCTAGGTTCTTTTATTTTATAGATGCAGATGAAGCAGCCTTATCATTTTTATTTTAGTGGATATATATGTAACTTTTAACTTACTTTTAAAACCACATGTAATTCTGTTTTAATTTTGTGTCATATTTGCTAGAAAGAGATTTGAGGGTAAGGCCCAACTTCCGAAACAGAAAGCAGTTGCTGCACCTTCACATAAGACAACTTCAGAAGAAACTGGGAAAACAACCAACAATGTGGGAATTCCGATGTGTCAAACAGACAAGGCAGCTGCCTTTAATGGTAAGTTCTAAAAGATAAGGGGTTCTGTTTGTGTATTATTTTACAAAGAATTCAAGATTAGAGGAGTGTGTGTTACCAGACCTGCATTTTAGTCTCTGCTTTCTGTGTTTCTTCAGAAGCAAGGTACACTCTCTGTTTTCTTAGCCAGTAGAACAAAGCAGGGATGCTGATGGCCCTTTTCCACCACTTTAAGTGTTCCAGGGGTGAAATGATGGATATTTGCAAGGACTATGAGTGTGCAATGATAAATTTTGTAAAACATTTAAAAATTAATGTTGTAGCTGAAACAACTATTACAACTGTGAGAGTATCAGGCTTGTTATTTCACATTGCTTGTGTTGCAATTGCCACTAGAGGCCAGGTTTTCGTCTGTGGTTTATAGTCCATGTTTATTTCCAGTGCTTCTTCATGCTGTTAAATGAAGAAACACATCTCCACTGACAGATATTTTGCTCTCTCATCTGTAGCTTATGATTAACTAAGGTTCTATGAAAGATGATAACCACAGCAACAATGAACACTACCATATATATTAAATCACCCCTGTTAAATGTCATGCTTCTCTGACCAAAAAACTAGCATGGTGTCCCAGGGTTCCTGCTCACATTACCCCAGTACACTTTATAAAAAGGACATTTGCTTATCAACAAGCATCACTGAGCATGAATGATAACATTCAGTTGTAGTTTATTCAGATTGAGTGAATGCATCAGTATTGTCAACCAAGTCCTTACTTGACAACTATTTTCTGGTTGGGCAGGACGTCTGAAGGTAGGAGTTACACAGGTGGAGGGTGGGACTAGTTCTGCTTGTACTGATTATGTAAAGATTGAATGTGAGTGAAAGGAATGTTGGGAATAATTACTCACCATCTGAGTAAATTGTGGATATTGATTAGTTTGTCTTGATAATGTCCTTGGGATTTAAAGGAATGGAAGCATTCCTGTTTTGTGGGCATGAAGTTAGAAGATGGAGGTTTCTGGAAACAATAAATTACATGTTGCTAAGAATATCATATACACATCATAATACATATGTGAAAGGGAAGAATAGTAAGATGGCAAATATAATTTAAATCTTGGTAATTTCATTAACTTTTAATGCCTGCTGTTGTAAATTTAATTTAGTTTTATTTTTTTAGAGATTTCATATACTAAAATACAGTGAACTGTGCAGAGGAGTTCTGATCATATTGAAATACCAGCCTAAGTTGGTTTTAAAGTGAAGAATTCACATCTTTTTCTAAGGACATGTAACTGCTGTTATCTGCCTACAGTAAACTTCAAATCGTTTCCTCCTTCCTATTTGGTCTAACCCTGCCTTCCATCAACAGGTAGAAGAGATTGTGCTGCTAAAAAGGACATGGATACCTCTAGGGCAAACACTGCTTCTCTGCAGTTGGATCTCATGCCTCTCCTCTCAGGTATTATTCTGTAAGGAGGAGGCAGGGAGGGAGCAGGATGTTAGATGTACTGTGTGTGTCTGAAGCACCTGTGCTGGTGGGTCTGCCTGGTGGAAAATGAGCAGTTTAGTTCTAAGTTTTTTTTTATCTGTTGAGAACATGTTGGAAATAGGATGTTGGTCAGAAGAAAGTGGATTAGTTCTGTGGTTTTCTGACTGTAACTAGATTAACATTATGTTGTCCTATTTTTGTGTGTAGTGACTTAAATCTGTGCTCATAGACAGAATTGCCAAGATGTCATAGAGGACGAAACTCAGCTGCTGAGTACATACAGCAAAATTTAACATCCAGAAACATTTAAATATGCTTCTGTACCTTTAACAGAGACTTTAATTGTGATGAAAAGTCTCTAAACTGTTTTAATATTTATGTGAACTGTATATTTGCATCTTCTAAGTGACAGAAAACTTCAGTGTGCTTTTAGCTCTTAGCCCAGATGAGACTTCTGGCTTTGTTCTAGATACTATTTTCTTCCTCAGTGCAAAAGGTAAATAATACATGAAGCAATTATTATTCGTTTTATTTCAGTACAGATTCAGTGGAGGTTTTTAATTTAATCAAATACTGATGCCTTGATGAGACAACTTCTGTAATAATATTTCATCTTGTTTTTAAAAGGAGAAAACTCGGTGATCAGTCGACTGGAAGAAAACAGTCCTATTCTTTTAGATGCTTATGTGTCTTTCACTGTAGAAACACCTCTTCTGTCTGAAAGACAAAGGCATGAATTGAATCCACTGGTAATAAAGATTTATTCAGCTACCAGCCTCCCGAACACACCTATACCAATAGAAGTGCTACAGGTAATGCATACCACTGCTTTTTTTCTGGAGGAATTCCCTTGTTATAACGAAGTAATGTTACTTAAAATATGGGTATGGTTTTAAAGAGAAGTTTCCTTGTTGGTAGATATTTGGTTAATGTTTCCTGAGTGAGATGTCTCCAGAGTAGTGCCTATATATTGTAGGCACTGACAACAAAACTGCAGTCCTTGCATTTTCTAATCCCTGCATTTTCAATTTCATAATTTACATGTAGTCAGCATATTTTTATTTTTGAGCAGTGGATCAGCACAGTGACTGTGCTGTATTGTTTGAAACCATTTGCTTGCAAGTCAGTACCTGATGACTGGCACAATTAGAACAGCTTCTGCATTGAAGTTATTATTGAACTTGTAAAGCATTCACTTTTTAAAAAATCTTTAAAAAAGGTGAAAACTATAGTTCAAGATTGTTTTGTTGTTGTTTTTATAAAAATAGTTTACTGTCAAGAACTATGTATCACTGAATTTCTCGTTGCAGGCCTTTTGTGACAGACTAGGCAAATTGATATACCAGTTATGAAAAGTAACAGAGAAAATAATACACTACATAGTTTCCAGTGCAGTCTGCAGAGTGATCACAGAAGTTTTGATTTTGTTTCCTTTGCTAAATGTGGTGAAATTGTGCATTGTCAAGAGCCAGGAATTGTCAGGATAGTCTTTGACGACCAGCTTCCTCTTTGTGCTGGTTGCCTTAATGCTGATGAACACTTGCACGGAAGAACCACTAGTATTGCAGAATGGATCTTGCTATTTAGCCCCAGATGTGTAACAAGTGGCTAATAATGGAGATGATACAGTCCATTCCCTATGGTATCTCTGGATAATTGTTGAATTTTATAACTATAGGATTCAAGGCCTATAGATACATGAAGATAAAAATATATATGTCAAGGAGTCACTGCAGTCCCCTGCATGCTTCTTTAATAATCTAGAAAGAAAAGGTGTGATTATTTTATTTTTTTAAACATGTATGGAAAATCAGCAAATTTGGGGACAGACAATGAAGGGGACAATAACTTCCTGAAACCTGGGATCCAGGCATGTAGAATGGCCTCCTTGTTGCCTTGAAAGACATAGTTTGTACCACAAAGTACATTCCCTTTTTGCCCTCTACAATAAAAGCCAATTATTCTGCAATATGAAAAATGAAGAGGGAAGAAATTAACACTTAAATCATCTGTTTCTCTCTCTCTCTCTCTCTTTTTTTTTTTTTAATAGAGATTGTGTGTTCCTACCTATTGCAAATATAAATTTCACAATTTTCCAGCTCATCAGACTCATGGACAAATCCACGGAACTCATGTCTACTTTAAGGATGTTAATGTATTTCTAACAGGAACAATGAAACCTGGGGAATTACAAAGGTATCTTAGAGGTCCGCCTTTGGAGATTGAAGTTCATGATCGGGATAGAAAGATTGAAGATAACAAAAAAAAGCTATGCTTATTTGGGGAGGATCAAGCTGATGAAAATCTGGGAGAGGCGAGGCCCCTTGCTTGCAAATCCACAATATGTAATTCTTCTACAGAGAATGAAATGTGGCATCCACATGGGGTAGCTAAAGTAAGTCTAACTGATCTATTGTTGGGTAAAAAGTACTTGGCTATTAGTGCGCCCATTCGTAGCTGTTCAACTCCAAATACATCTGCTTTCAATAAAGAGGATAAAAGTAAGAAGATAGGGAAGAAGTATCCACAGATTCTATTACCTATGGGACATTATCTACAATCAGACTCGCTTTTGAAAGTGAGAGTGGAAATAGCAGTGCCATTGAGAATGCATGCAGAAGTTGATGATGCTCAAGTGACAGATTGCCCGTATGGTTGTATAATCTACATTTTTGACTACAGTAATTCATCTTTATTATATGATTTGGTGGAAGAAATTACAGAAATCAATGCTAAAGCCCTTCAGCTGGACTGTTATCCTCCACACATCATCAGAATGGCTCTTGATACATTAAAACTGGAAAGCACACTAGAGAAGGATTCTGAGTTAGATATTGTTACTGGCTTTCACTTACTGGATGGAGCTTCTCATCTCTTTGTCTTGGAGGGATTAAAAGACAAAGCCATCAAGAGACTCTGGGATAGACACTTCGAAAGGTAAGAGTGATGTTTTTTATTAATTTCCATTGGCAGCTGAAAGTTGTAGCTTCTCAAAGTGAATTCTGCTATCTTATACATGTGTAAGTGGAAGAGAGGGCAAAGAGAATGATTGATTGGAAAAAAGTTTTTAAAACTCTGTTTTTAAAATGAGACTATAATACTTCACATCTCGAGAATACATCAGCACAGTAAAGGCAGTATAGTTTAAAGAAACTTAAATGATGTGCAGAAAACATACCTGACTTCCAAAGCACAGGTTGTCTTAGCTTACTTGACATCACATACACTGATGTGTAGCCCCATGCTATTTCTGTTGGCCAAATACCTGTCCTAATTTTCAGTGGGCCATACAAACATGCTCCCAGTTGAATTTGGCCGTGGGACAGCCTGGCATGTGAACTGTCATGTGTCATTGTTTGCTAATACTCAGTGGGATCTAAAAGCTGTGAGGAGGCTGGAACCCAAGCTGTATTTTTCCTTTATACTTAGGAGAAAATATGACAAATGCAAAACTAAAGTCTCCCTCAAATTTCATGTTTAAAAAATCATCTTTCTTTTTTTCATCGCTACAATGTTGTTGAAGCTTTCATTTTATTTATTTATTTATTTTTGTGCAAGTTGCTTCATTGTGCTTGCTGAAATTTATTTGTTACATGAGAAGTCATCTCTTGTTACAGGTAACCTGTAGCTTCAATTGAAGCTTTGTTTTACTGCTGCAGTATGAATTTCTGTATGTTAGAAGAAATATTTAGAGAGAGCTCTTGAGTAGGGCCATTAAGCACATAGATGAAACTGAGGCGAGCTTTTTTTTTTTTTGAGATGACTGCAATGAGGATTAAAATGAAAATCTGTTCAACTCATTCATGACATAAAGGTTTCGATATTTTCTTCCTTTGTCCATAATCACTTTTTCAGAACAGTTCACATGAAGTGAAGGCTGTGGAATAAGACATTCCATTTAAAGGACGGGAGGCAGTTGGTTTCATGAGAAATAGTAATTGTATGGCAGAACTGAGGAAACCTGAGATATGGGCTGATGGTTCTAACCTTGTCGTTGGCATACTGTTACAGAACTTACAGACGTGAAGATGGACAACTGGAAATACTATATAATTCACAGCTGTCTTTCAGTCAGCGCCTGTACACAGACCTGGAAGCAATCTTTTATCATTTCCACCTCTGTAAGCCTCTCTTCAGTATAGCAAAACAGCCTCTGCTTTATGTCAGAGGAGCAGTTCCTTGGGCATGTTTCCAAGCCTTGTCCAGGTATGACTCTTCTAGATTTGTAGTCAAGAAATAAAGAAATATTATGAAGGAAGAGTGAATATTTGATATCAAAAGTAATATTCCTTCATCTTTTCCATGATGAAAGCGATCTGCAGGTGTGATGAGTGGTTCAGGTTTCAGATGACTTACAGGCGAGCATGTTTTACTAACCACTGATGTAATGGTAACTGGATATTGGTGAGCTCACTTCTGTGGGCAGAAATTCATACATCTCTTATTTTAAGGAAGAGAACTGTATCAGTAGGATAGTATATTGGAACATGCCTGAATATAAAACAAATAGAAGAAAGAATCCTGGTGTCAGAAGCATCAGCTAGGAAGGATTTATTTCTCTGCTCTGTTCTCTTGGAGAGATGATTTAGAAGTGAGTAAAGGAGAAGGACTTTATAGAGTCAGAAAGTCACTTCTACTAAGTGGGAAATTTTATAAACATTTTTCCTGAGGTAACTGTAATAAGGAAAGATTCTGTGTGAGGTGGGGAGGCACTGTTTCCTTTCCATAGCTTTTTCTCTTAAGTTCTGTTATGTGGTTTATTGCTGAGTCTGTCAGTTTGCTCACTTTGTCTGCGTGCAGCAGCTGTTAGTCTTAAAGCATCTTGACAACTTCTGAGGGGGATTAAAAAAGAAGTGGATAAAGCTGCACGTGCATAAATTATCTATATAATTTATAAAACCATGAAAAATATTCTGTGCGTATCTTTGTTGATTTGTCACAAGCAGCAAATAGGGTAAAAGTTGTTCAAAACAGGACGTAAAATAAAGGTGAAGCAGAGGTGATTTTAGTGAAGTTTGGCACAAATAGGAGTCATGCATTGGAACCAACGTGCGTGAAGGAAGTTTGCTTTATTGGCCCACCAGCCAAGGGAATAGGAATTCATCAGTTAATAACTAATCTTATATCTAATTCTAATGCCAATGACATTCCTAGACTATTCCTAATAGTTTTAATGAACTGCTATCCTTCTGTATCACTGCCAAATACTAACGTATCTGAGCTGACCTGAACTTGTTAATAAATAGATAGTTAAAGTTTTGTAGTTCTTTGCCAATAATTTTAGTGGTGATGCTTTGATTGCCATAAAGTTTTTGTAAACTAATAAACTGTTGATGTCTGTTTGTAGGCTCAGTTACCTCTGTCACAGTAAGAGGTTGAGGGATGTTATTCAGGGGGGTTTGCTGCCCTCGGCAGAAATGGTCACAGCACTGAGTCGAGAGTATGGAGCTCCATTGACTGATGAGGATCTCTTCACTCAGAAACCTCCTTTACTCTCATTTTCTTCTGACTGTGCAGCACCAGGAAATGTTAGCAGAGAGAAAAAGGGGGGATATTCTTCGTTAGATGACTACAATGAAAAATACGTGCAGTGGAAGAAGGAAATGGCAGACAAAAAGTCCTTTGAGAGAAACCATATTAGGGTGAGTTTGTTACTGAAAGAGGCAAGCCTAATAGCTGTGTCGCTTCATATCTTGATTAACACCTCCTTCTCCTGAAACCTTAGAAAAGTTTTTAAGCCTAATGTATTTGTAGGTGTTGTACAAACATTACTAGAGCGTAGGGTAGTTTTGTTTTGCAGAGGCAACTGTTTCTTAAGGAGGGAAAAAGCAATTTTGCTTGCAAGTAAATAGAGGAGGTACTGTGTGTGTGGAAAGGAAACTGATGGATTATTTAAAGGATTTGCCAGTTTCTTCTTGGGGTTGGTTCCTGTTTTTGTTCTTCTCCATAGCACCCCACATCAACCAGTTGCACAGTCTTCATTGCTTTGTGGGGCCAGCCCAACCAAGCCCATGTAAAATTTGTGCTGCTTTCTCTTGCCCTGCAAAATACTTGTTTAGACAGTCAGAATTGTTAGCTAAATAAAACCAGCAGTTGAAGATGGATCTTTTAAATAAAAAAAAAAAAAAAGAACTTGAATAATTTTTTACCTTTTCTGGCTTGTTACAGGCTGCCATCTGCCCCTTCTGTTGTCTCAGGGAAAACATTAGAATTGAAAACCTTTCTGTTCAGATAGACATTCAAGCAGAGAGATCACATGATCACATGTGTTTCTTGGGAGTCCGAAGTGTTTTTTGAGTACATTTCTTAGCTGAGGACTCTCACCATCCCATGGTTTGTGAGGGCTAGTTTGGACTGGTTTTAACACAAAGAAGCTGTCCTTAATGTTAAAAGCTGTGCTCCTAAGTAGGGGTACTGCCTTGGAATTATTGAAAGACATTGAATTTCTAAGTATTTCCATTTTCAATTTTAGTTTGCTGCTAGAGAGGTCTTAGATGAGGCTAGAAAAGAAAACAATCTTAAGTAACATATTAAGTTCCTGGTAGTTGTAGCAACATAAGAGGATGCAAGCAGCAGCAGTCTTTGGTCTAAACATTCAGTATAGATTAAGTGTAGGTCATTTTTTTGTTCATTTGAAGTTTGCAGTCTTCTGAGTCTACGTGCTTTAACCAGCTCTTATTTTATAAATGTTTTGAATCAAGAGGACAATAGAGGGACTGAAGTCCCTTGTAGATTAAAAAAAGAAAAATAATTATTTTTAAATAACACATTTGATTAAAATATACATATCTTTTGAGTTGAAACACTTGAGTGTGTTAGGGAGTTTTAAACATTATCAAAAGGAAGAGATATCCAAAATGCAGTGTTGCTCTTTTGCTGCAGTTACCTATTGTGGCATAGTCTGAATTCAAAGCCTTAATTTCCATAAGCAAAGTTTGATAGTGTTGGCAAGAAAATTAAAAGATGTGAGGGTTTAACTACACTGTGTCAGCAGAGAAATTTGAGGATCATAATTAATATTGTCACTCACATATGTAACTGCAATTGCTGGGGTTTTAATGGAATGATGCAAATGAAAAAACTAATCTTTCAATTTCAATTGATGAAGACCAGCGTCAGCTCTCCAGAACAGTGATTTATGTCTGTAAGCAGAAGTCATTCTCTGCTGAGTCCCTGCCTCCAGTGCATTGCCTTCAGTCTTAGTGTGTCATGTGCTAGGACAAAATGAGGGGCTAAGCTGTACCAAAAAAAACATTGCTTTTTTTTAATATAGTCCTCCTGTGGAGAGTTTTATTAATGAAGAACTGTTGTGTACTTTGTATATAAATACTTATTTCTTTCTACGTGAGCATCTCCTGAAAGCTTTTTAATGTTTACAGTGTCATTTGCTTGTTTGAAATATTTTTGGAGCGCTCTGAATTTCCAATTCAGATGGAATTCACATAGAATCTCTCCTTGCAGGCTAACATTGATGCTGTGTGTCAGCTTAAAGGAAAGATGAAAAAGCTGAAGTTTGAAGCTTTCAGGATTTATCCTGCTGATGGCAAATCTGTTTATAATTATAGCTCTCAGAGCCTAAATTCTGCAGAACTTGCAAAGAAGCATCTTCGCCAGGAAATGGCAAAGGTAAACTGAGGCACAAAAATGGAACACCTTGGATTGCTATGTGTGGGACTAAAAAAGAGAAAAAATTGATTAAATAGGTCCACAAGATGACTTCCATATTAATACATTAGTTATATATTAGTACATAGGATTGGAAGTGGTCCTCCTTGCTGTGTAAAATTCTGTTCTTATTGTTGTCCGTTGTAGCCAAGTTGTCTCTTCTTCATGACTTGGGCTCTGAGTTTGACTGTGGACTTTGGTAACCTAGAGGCCACAATTCTGAGTTCCATGTATCTGTAAGCAGTGAAATTTGAGGGATTGCAATGCTGATGTGATATAAAGTGATCTGAAGAAGGTGTTTGTGAACATACTTGAAGAATCTCATTTATCTGCTGTTCTCAGAATTGCTGCCTTCGATCTAAATAACAAATGCTGTTTTCCTGTCCACTGGAGGAAATGAGCTCTGTGAAAAGTGTTGATGATATACCCACAAACACAATATAACCCAAACTTACTTTTTAATAACCAAAAGTGAATAATATTAAATATTTGTCTTCCATCCTTGGATCATAATGTGAAATTCAGAAAGTTTTTTGATTGCTTAATGACAATTCTTTTCTCTGTATAATTTTTATCTGCAGTTACTTCAAGCCTTACGAGATGTTCCTGCTTCTGTACTTCTGATTGTTTCCCTCTCTCAGCAAAGGGAACTTCACATTACCAATTGTTTGTTTGTTTTTGCAGGAGCCAAAAACAAGGTTCACTTATTGTCACGAGTATCTTTCAGCCATGTTTGACCCAGTTGATGTGGTTACTGCCTGTAAGGAGTCCTTTGCAAAATCCAAGAGTATGTGGCTGTCACCAGATGGATTTGTATTTCCTGGATTTAAGAGCAGCATTGAAAGCAACCTGCACCCTCGGATGCCTGATGAGGCACGTGTGGAGGAGTTACAAGAGGTAACAGACTACTTAAGTGAGCCAAGAGAACAGAGGCGTTTTAGGAGACTTAAAAGAGGATGACTGCTTTAGCATGTGGAATTCCATCTTGTGGGGTACAGCCCAGGCAAGCTATCTGGGAATACATCTGTATTTGCAATTGGTGTATATCAGAGCCCAGCTCACCCAGGCAGTGCTTTGTTTGGATATGCAAGCTGTGCTCTGAACGCATACAGAAAACCTGTTGGCCAGAATTACCATCGTGTTTTGTTTTCCATATAAAAATGAGGGTCCAGAATAAAAAAAAATAAAATAAAATTAATGTTGTGTTGCATGGTGGGTGGATTTCAGACTGTTCTTCATGAGCTGCCAAGTTAATTGTAGCCTTCCTTTATCTATGCCAATTCCCTCACTAGTTATTTTTCCTCCATCTTTTATTTGTGGTTTGTGGTTCCAGTTTTGTTAGAAGTTTTCTGATCAGTTTCTCTATCAGTTTCTTGCTGCTCTGTGTCCTCCCCTTCTTTTGTTTATTCTTTACTATTTAATTCCTTGTTTTCTGTCTTTTTACTGGCTGTCAGCTTGACTCGCTTTTATTTTTGTATAGTCTTCAGCATTGTCACCTAAGCACATGTAGTCTACTGTTAGGTCTACTATTAGATGATGTATATGTTGTTAGAATTGGCAAGGTAAGGAAATAAAGGGATTAGAACAATTATTTTTTTTTTTTGTGCAGGATCAATAAGTTTTGCAAAATTTATTGAGCACAGTCACAGCATAGAGTGGAACAGGCTGAATGCTTGGAGGGTTACCATTCAAAAACTCTCTTCCAAGAATGTGTACATGTTCATTTAATTTGCAGATTTTATTTAACTTTTTTTTTCCCTCTGCAGATTAAAGTAGTTTCTCAGAAGGGTTAGAGTATAACTGAAGTAGTGCAAACAAGGTGCTTTCTTCTAGTCCATCATGTTGGAGAATTAACTTTCTCTAGAAGGGAAAGAAGATTAACTATTCAAGATAACAGAAGCAAGTTAGTGCAGTATCATTTCTGTTGCCTTTTGTTGAAGGTAATGGAGAGGAGGGCAGCTAAGCAGCACAGAATGAAGAACTGGACAAGCTGAAAAGGAGAAGCAAAAGGGACAGCAGGCTTCTTAAAGGGGTTCAAATTTATTTTAGAAATGGCAGGAGAATGCTCTGTATGCTAACATGGGACCAGTGCTGTCACGAGGCAGATGGAGCTGGGACAAACGGCGTGTTGACTTCGAGCTCTACAAGAAGCCACCTGAACCCCCCCTGACAACAGATTCACTGACAGGTAAGGTGTTGTTAATTAGCTGCTAACAAAGCTTTTAACTTGATGCTCTGATATACGGTCCTGAAGCTTGCTAAGTGCTGCTGTCAAGTGAAGGGAATGTAAATGTAAAGAGGTTTATCGAGGACATTAATGGACAGCAAAACTGTTCACACTTGAGCATACAAAGCATTTGAGGATGTAAGAAAGACCTCGACCATACTCCAGTTTTACCCCTCTACTTCCTTAACTTCTTAGCTTTAGTTTCTTTGCATGCAGTATGACAGGAAGGTATAGAGCCTTTTTGGCTTACTCTTCTGTAAAGCTAGTCCTGTTGGCTGCCTGCTCTTTCTTTATATGTGTTGGTAACGATCAATCAGCTTTCGTTGGTACTGAGGTCAGACAAAGACATCACAGACTGCAAGTAATACCAGCAACTGAATTCAGAGGGGTCCCAAAATGAGCTGGTTAAATCCATGTACTGTTACTACAGCAGCCCGTAATGTGTGCCTTGGTGAGGTGGTCAGTATGTGTATCCACATGTTCTCCCACAAACAGCGGAAGAAAAGGTTGCATTTAATTATGATACAGTAACTGTGTGTTTCTCTTTGCTCAGAACCCAGCCAGACTCACTGGAATGTTTAAGAGCAGAAAATAATAGATGTCTCATGATCACTAAAATCATCTGTTTTTACAACTTTTCTGCTGACACATTACCCTGTGAATTGTGAAACACAGGAGTAGTGCAGTTCTTCTCCATTGCTTCATATGGAAAAATGCTTCTGGAAGTAGATAGAATGAACTAATTCATTCACAGAATCTACAGGACTATGAATTGTCTTTGTTGTGAGGCACCAGCCATTATTCCAGTACCAGTATGATTTGTTCTTTGATTCCTTATGAAAAATGATGTTCACTGCAATAGCAGGCTTTTAAGCACCACTTTTCTAAGTAAGTCAAAAATTTCTTTCCCATCTACAAACATCTGCTGTTTGTGTCTTTTTTTCCCTCTTTTCAATCTATTTTGACCATGTGAAGATGCTACTCATTTTGTGCAAAATGCATTTGATGATACCAAGCTGAAAGTTCACCGGTGCTCCGCAGCAGCTGAGTTACGCACACGGGGGCCAGGAGCCAGTTCTCAGCTACAGAAGCTGCAAGGACTTCTGAAAGATGAGCCTCAGAAATTCTCACTCAGGAAGGCAGGACTCATTTTGAAGGTAAAGGATAACTACCATGTCTGGGTGCTGATCTTGGCACCTACCTTTGTACAACAACACCAGTCGTGTACTTTATGGCAGGCAGATAATGACACTTAATGGAGCAGAACACTTTCTGAAGTAAAAATGTGTGTTAAATTGATGCTTAAACTTATGAAGGTCTTTAAAAAAAAATGGCACAAAATTATTACTACTACTACTTCGCTTTGGTGGTCAGAGATAATGGAGTATGGGGGAGGATTTCAGTTAACTTGCCTGTCAGGGTGCAAAGGATAAGAAAGGAAGAATGATTTTTGGCCAGCTGTCTTAACAGCTTTAAAAGGGATTGTACTGTTCCCTAATGAAATCTGGGGGTTAAGGGACTTGTATTGGCTGCATGCCAAGAGTCTAACCTTGTGCTCAATTGCTGTAGTGCTCTAAAGGCTTTCTGAGCATTGCATGTCAGCCTGTTGGTGCAAAAATCAGACGCAGACAGCTCAGTTTTGGAAGACAAAAGGATGTGTGCTCATTAATATGAAAAGCTGCATGGGTGGCCTGCATCTAACTGTCCTTTTGTTGGCTGAAGCACAGTCAGTGCTTGCATGTAAGTGAATGACCAAGCACAGCTTGCTTTTAAAGCTGATTTAGAGCATTTCATTCCCCTTGATCTGATGGCTACAAATGCTCTAGAAAAACAAATACAGGAATTATGAAAATGCTAGTAACAAAAGCAGAGCTGCAGCTTGTGAGTCTACACCCTTTCCCCACCCTCTCTGCCCTTTTAAAGATAATATTCTAAATACCAGTTCTTGCATTGAATGGATGTGTAGCAACAAAATGCCTATCCTTAGTTTAATGTCAGACTTTGAAATGAATGCTACTTTGTGCTCTGCCTTTTGTTTTGATTTGGCTCCTCAAACTATCAAACTTATCCCTCTTGGACTGTGCTTGTTTTCTATACTTTTAATACACAGCCTTTTTTTTTTTTTTTGCTAGATTTCATACAAGTAATAGTATTATTTTATTATATAATTTATAGCTTGCACTTTGTGATGTTCTGCTTGACTACCAGACTTCACTTAACTTGGGCTAAACGTCTTTCAGGGCTTCCTGCTGAAGCCTGTAGGACGATGCTTCTGTCTTCTGTCACAAAATCTTTTGCTTCATTTGTGAGTTTGCAGTACCTACCAGTAGTCCACTTTGTGAGAAACAAGCATGGAGGTAGAGGGCAAGAAGAAAGAGGAGAAAAAAGCTTTCCAGAACAAAGCATGTTTTCTTGTCCTAGCCTATCCCAGCCCTGTCAGCGTTGGACTCTCAGAACAGCTCCAATGTCCTGCCAAGAAAGAAGAGTGTTTGTAGTGGCTTTGTACCAGGCCTTCAAGACCACCACAGCCTGAAGTGGAACGACAACATTATCCCCTGTCACAACAGAGGGCACAAGAAGTTTGAAAAACTCAAAGGTGCAGATTTCAAGTAAGGTAACCTAATGGCTAGAAATAGCTCCCAAAACTATTTGTATGGTATATGTCAGGAGTTACAGTGTGCAGGCACTGTAATGATGAATTACTAGGCTGATCAGTTTTTGGAGTGTCTCTAAACGAAATCAGTTATGTGGGGGACAGGTCGTGGTGTTCCTGGGAGGCTGTCTTTTCAGTTGTCTTTTCCTTAACTCTGAAATTAAGGAACTGGGATTACCACTGGTAACCATTAGCCCTATGTCACTGTGTGTTACCTATGCAGTCACAGAACTGGGTTCTCCACAGTACCCTCAGAGGTACTGGCACTTCAACTGTATGTTTCATTTTATGTTGAAGGATTTAGTCTGCTGCTTTTCTAATATAAGAAATACAAAAATTATTATTGTTACTGCAGAACAGTTTTACCCTTACAGTTTTAATTAGACTCCTAGAAATCTGAAGAAATTCCATGATGTTTGAACTTTCTAAATGATATCATGAGACAGCACATCTAGCATTAGCAAGAAACTTTTAGTTATTCAAGCATCTCACCTACGATATGGAATGTGAAGTATTATAGATGTACTATTTCCTGTTGTGGAGAAAAATTTTTGTTCTTAGTATCTCTGAGTGGTTGATTGTGAAATTAATGTTTCATTTCCTTGTTCAGTCCATGCAGAACTGTACTCTTCCAGAATGCCATACTTGTCCTAAGTCATGCCTAACGAGGTCAGGTTTCAGCCTTTTCAATTTGTGAAATGATTTATTAGCTGTTATGTCTAACCTGATATTCTAGTCGGTTGAACAGTCAACTTAAAAGCTGAGTAACAAGAATGAAGTCATGTGGTCACAGTAATTGATACATGTTGCAAGCTCATTTAACAGATTCAGTAGCAATTAGTAAGCCTCTTAATATAATGATGTTGCAATTATTCTTTCAGAAACTTGTGGATCAAAGAGATGTAGCTTAATCTTAAAGTACTTTCTTCTTGTTCCAGTTTACTTGGCTCTAAACAATCAGTTTACAAGAGTGACCAAGCAGCAAGGAGATGCACTACTACCTGTACACAACAAGAAGATCCTCTCCAAAATGATATTCTGGATACAGGTAACTCAGTGAGTACCAGAGAATGCTTCACAGGGCAGAAGTGATGTGCTGAGCTGAGGGGTAACTAAATTATATTTGGGGTTACTAAGAGAGTAAAAGAAAAATGTGCAACATGCCATCATATCTGAATTATGTTCATGAAAATTCTGTTGTCTGTACCATCAACGTCCCAGGCAAGGCAATGACGATTGTGGTTGGCCCTGCTGCCCACAGTGCTTCTCTAAAGGTGTAAATAGTAGATTTAAGCTTAAAGAACCACAGCCTCTTCCAGGGAAAACATAACTCAGTCTGGATCTCAATTGATTTTTATTTGGCATTAAAGGTAACAGACATCTCTAAATCTCTAAAAATATAACGTGTAGATTACATTAATTTCTTTCTTTATCCTCTTTATATGAAGTTGTTTTTTAATTTATTTTACAGATACAGATAATTACATTTTGTAAACTCTTGAAACAGTTACTTTTAAGGTGTCAAATACTTGAACTGCAGGAAAATAGTTGCTGTTCATGCTACATTCATCAATATTAGCTGTCAATGAAATAATTAGAATGTCCTGTCCAGTGGATGTGAACAGAGATAAGCTCTCTTTTCCAGTATCTGCTTTGCAGCCTTTTTAATGTAGTCATCCAGATTTTCATCTGCATCTACGGAAAAGCAAAAGGAAAGAGCTGTTCTATACTTCTTTCAAAAAGGATTTCAGAATGCAAATTTAAGTATCTAAACATCAGTGGTAGGAAAATTCTAAATAGATTCTGATTATGGCTGACTGAATCATTCACAAAGAAAATAGCCAGTTGGTTATTATTCAGATGAACAAGTCAAATACCCGGTGATTGTTACTTAATATTTTCTTCACAGGAGTATTTGTTACTAATAAATCTTCTTCACTACAGCTGAAAAAAACAGTTTATCCCCATACTGGATTCATCTATAAGAGCAGAGACTGTTCCACTCGCCAGTTCTGTTCCTCATCCTAATTAAAGGCAGAGCAGAACTGTTCTATTGGTTATATCAAAAATACCTACTTTAGTTGAGAAACTGTGAAAGCCACTGAGTACAAAGTGTATTTTATAGAGCTTACATTTTTGCAGTTGAGCCAAGGCATAATTATTTTTGAAATAAGCTTCGCTGCAGAAGATATTTGTAAGAAGCACCTGCAAAAGAAAGTATTAATTTAGTAGTTTATGAAATTAAAACTTAAACAAAATAACACAGGAAAAATACATTAATGTAAGTTTCTGAATGTGTAGTTTGTGTCTTAGATAAGGAGCCCTGTAAGAGTGATGTATGCTGCAAGCTCATTTATTTATTTCCCACAGCTACTCCATCACAGTGTTGGGCTGTCCCCTGCACAGGATACTGACTGGAAGACATTTGTGCTACTAAGTTCAGAAGGACTTTTACACAAGGTCTGAAATCTCAGGACCACTAAAATTCATCAGTTTGGATTTGTCTCACAATTAACTGTAGCAAGCTTAATTGTTACTATGAAACTTTACATGAGCTACACTATCATCTCCTACGTGTCAACGTCTCTCACTCTACTGTGGAGACATTTAGTGAGGAAAAGTAATAATTATTAACAGTTGATAATGTGGAAAGAATTTGGGAAGAACAGCATGATGTTAGAAGGGTTAAGAGAACGTGTAGAGTCCTAATTAATTCATAAATCTATGTATGTCAAAGTGTTCTAAATACTTGGATAATATTGCAGTTTGTGTGCTCAGAAAACTGGAGAGGTAAGTGGTGTGGTGTATCCAGGCATGAGAAACAAATCAGTGCAGTTTCATTTGTTTCCCAGGAGTTTGTTGCAGTAGATACACATTCTTAACAAATGCAGAGTGTAGCTTTAGTGTAATGAAAACGATTTGTCACTGAAGTTTTTACCCAGTCTGAGACACAAGCATGCAATGTCTGATAGCTTAGCGTGCTTTTTAGAACTGCAATATGCTTGTGAGGCAACCTCTATTGCAGAGGTGAGGGGAAAGTTGATCAGTCAAGGAAAAAGCAGCTCGTTACAGACTTGCACAAGTTATCTAGGTTAACATCTCAAGGAGAGGTCTAATATAGTGCACCTTACTTATAAAACGTATAACTAGGCAGAATGATCCTTATCACTGATTTGTTAGGGAGTGTCATCCACACAGCACAGGTGTTAGATGGCTGTGACTGATACTGAAGTACACTTACATCATGGTCGTGGTTCCTAAGGCCAATGCTGATGGACCGGCTCGCTCTGGAAATAGCTGCTGTCATTGCATACAAATTAATAACTATATCCGACACTCTCTTCAGAGCCAACTGCTCATCCACTATTGTCTAGAAGAATGAAAATGATCAGGTTATAGACTTCAGTTGGACTATTTTTTCCATACTTAATGTTCATACTTATTTAGAGCATAGACAGGTAAGTTATTACACTGAATTTCCACTCTTAGGAAGTATTTAATCCAAAACCTATGCTCCACCTTTTCCAGGCTTGCTGGCTACAGCCAGAAACTGCTTTGGTAAGTGCTAAAAATGACTCTGTGATTTAGCTTTTGAATTTCTATCTACACCAAAAAACCAAACAAACACATCTATTAGTGCTGAGTGCTTCATGGTGTGGTCTAATAAGCATGCTCAGAACTCTCATAAATCTGGGGTAGCTGTAGCTACCTTCCACTGCCTGCTTACAGCAGCATACTTAAAATAGCAGCAAGCAGGATTTGCACTTACAGGAATACAAGGACTCGTTAACCTAATCACAGTGATTGCTTAAATAAGTGAAAATTGGTTGTTGCATCAAGTTAGTATAGAGTTGGAGTATGTTTTCTCAGCCAACAGCTATCAGCTGTGCAAAGGAAATCCTGGCTCTAGTCATACACTGTCCACTCCAGATTGTAGTGAGACCAGTGTGGTCAACAAAAAGTTCAAAGACAAAACTCAATGTGATACTGTTGTTACCTTGCCAAACCTAGTGAGTAGGCCTCTCACTGTAGTTCCAAAATAGTAAACATTTTCCTCAAGTTTCTTGCCACTCTCCTAAAAAATAAAACATAAAAATACATACTTAATATTTTAAGTACATTTAAACAATTTGAACATTCTCCAAAGGTAAATAAAAACCTACAAAAGTCCCTACCAGAAATGGGACGTTTAGATAACCGACATGCTGGGATGCATGTGCCACTCCTATGCTGCCCAGCCAATAAACCAAAATGGATGAGGCAGTTCTCTCTGTGGGAGGCCAGCAGTTCCAGTTAATAGGCAGAAATCAAACTACAATTCTCAACCACAGCACAAAGCTCAGGTTTTGGTTTTTTAAACTTAGCAAAGACTGAAGTTTAGTCCCCTAAGGGGTCTGTGATTGATTTGAGGGATCAAAATGCAGTGAAAAATGTAATGCTGCATACGAAGCTGAACAATTAACAGGCAACTCCATCAAAAGCCCGAGATGTGTGTGCCCCATCACAAAAAAAGAACCCCTTTCCCCTAGCACGGAATTTCAGTTTGCTGCTAAATCTGCTTACAACTTCTAGTCAAGGAAAATAATTCCCTTTTAAGACTATCATTCAACATTCTACATTTCCCCAGCTATAAAGGAGAGAGACTTCGCCTGTGTACCTAATGGGATTTTAAATCACAGTATTTTCTGAGTGGAAAACCACTGCTCAGTTGTATTCTTTTTATCTGTCTGTTAGATTTTTCTCTTGCCAACTACTGTGTTCTTAATACTGAGTTAAAAGTCAGTTAAAGCACGTTTCTTTAGCAATAAGATATGCATTAAAAAGTGCTGATTTTACTTGTTTAACTTTTCAGTATAGTCTTCTTTATGCTTACACAATAAGTATGAAAAATTTCTATTCAACTTCTGCACAACAAACCTGATGCATATTTTACATGCTGCATGCTACAAAACCCCTGGAAGGCAGTATTATGTGCTACTGCCCATGTCTTCAAACTCTGCTGGTAAGGAGGTAGGAGAATTTCCAGTGTCACATTTGGCTTTTATTAATTCTTGAATGCAATTGATAATTAGTTCTTGTAATATGAATGGCCATGGTCTCTGTGTGTGTGAGGTATTAGAGGTGTTCCCATCCAGCACACAAGGTAGGTCAGCATTACTGCTGGTAACACAACCCACCCACATACACTGGTGGCACTGCAGGACACACAGTGCATTTACCTGAGGTGAAAGCAGTGCCAGGTGCACAGCACAGGATTAGCAAATCCTCTTACATGTGTGCTTGACACAGCTGACTTAGGGCCACATTTGTTGACAAAAAATGATTTCATTACACCTCCTCAGATCATTACAGAACACGATAGGAAGAACATACATTAATTTTTCTTTTCCTATTAACAACTTTAGAAACAAAACAAACAAAAGAAAAACCAACACCTTTTTTCTTCTTGGCCCTAAGAATTAAGTGGTGAAGCAAGTGTATCCGTAGCTCACCAAAATTCATAGTTACAACCACATCACCATTAAACAGGAAAGTGATGCGTTATCTAGCTTAGCATATTATGCAGGGCAGTTTGTAGGTATTACTTAAATTGATATCAACCTGGATGTGTTGTAAGCACAGAGTTGTAACATGGGTCCTTACCCCTGAAATGATGTAAACACCTGCTTAGATTTGTGAATCTCCCCCTTCCTAATCATACTCTGTTCTGCATAAACAGACACAGAGTTGTGACAAGCAGTGTCTGGCTCTTACCTGGAGGCTGGGATGCACCAATCCACCACGTTCTTCCATTATCCCATAATCCACTTTTCTGCCCGTTGAGTCCCTTACTTTGTTTACCAACTCCTGCAGTGCCAATCCTATGTTTCCTTTCTTGATTTCTCTAAAATGTTGAGTAAAAAACAGCTGTTGAAATACCAGTAACACTTTGGTATAAAATCTTAAGTTGTTTTAATTACTGGTCTTATAATTGTACACAAGCTGGAAATATAAAGCAAGATACAGTCAGCCAAGATTCCTAAACATATAAAATAATGCCAACTAAAAAGAAAAAACACAGACCCCTATACAATGAACTGCCATTCAGACAACTTACTAAGAAATTAATTTCCCCCTTAGATATAGTTAAAATTATCACTCTGTTTAGTTCATTAAAAACTATTAGCAATGAAGAAGAACATACTTAATTTTGTCAGTTAAGATTTTGCCTGCATGCTGCATACCCGTCAGAGCAATATACATTCGCAGAATTTCATTTGTTCCCTGCAAAAAAACATAGCAATATATCAATAATATCAAACTGATATGTAATATCAAAGCATTTTTAGTATTCCCAAAATCCGGGTATGCTGTGCTAATATTTTATAGGGTTCTTTTTCAGTTCTACTTTCAGTGTCTACATAACTTTTGTACTCTGCTTTTCCTGGGAATATTCTAACGTGCATTACTTGTACAATTATTTTGAGAGATCAACAGCAGACAAAACATAATCATCACATGTAGGTAAATGGCTTTGCTTTTTGTAGGTACGTGTATTTAAAGAGAAGTTCTTTTGTTAACTATTTACTTACATACAATATAACAAATATTTCTAAGCAGGTCTTCCAGCTGATCTTCCCTTTCTAATGCTACACTGCTTCAGATTTAAAAGATCACTCTTTACCCATCCCTGAATGTTTGCTGGCTTTAGGTCACTTCTTAGTGATGAAATTCTGACCTCATCTGATCATGAAGAAGTTGAGCTTTTCATTATTAGCCATGTATATGTAACAGAGCTAAAAAGAAACCAGGCTGAATGCACCTGGGTGAAAAAATAACTTCTGTATTGTTCCAGTAAAGGAATACTTAAATACTCCTTTGTGTTCATTATGCCCATTTGGAAAGCATAAGCAGATCAGGAAATGGAGATTATAAGCCTGTACAAACGTGATGTTCCGGAATCCACTTTAAGACTGACTGCCTTAACACACATAGCTGGAAAATAACTTGACTGAACTGTGAAGATCAGTGAGAAAATGAACTGAGTTACTGAAATGTGTTCTTGAACACAAGGCTTCCTACAGCCAGTCCAACAGAGGAGGATGTTACATGCTGGCAGCTTTTGCTCCTTGAGTCAGTACTGGAACTGACTCTTCCTAGTTATGTGAGATACCACAAACAGCTGGGGGCAGGGTTCAAGCTCAAAACCTGTTTGAAAGTTCTTGCTTGCATTAACTGCCAGCTGAGATCTTTGCTGTCCTGACAACAGGAAACAAACACTGATTTCTACATGGTCTCCCCAAGAAAAACTCGTGTGAATCAGACATACAGATGATAATCCCACTTGAAAACAGTAGAGAACAAACTTCACAACTAACTTGTTGTTTTAAATAAACGCTCATCAACAAGGTGAAACTTCAAATTAATCCAAATTAATCTGTGAGCTTCCCTGCTTTGCTTCTAAGCAGCACACAGAGGAAAGGCTGCGCAGTCTCAGAACGGAGCAGCTTAGGTGCAAGAATCAGAAAATCCTATTAGAGAAGTTGTGTAAAAATAATTAAGTTTTGCCTATGCCTCTTACCAAAT